CCAGGAGGCTGGATACAGTAGACCATGTCCTGTAGGGTGCCGTGCAGGAAGGCGTTCTACGTCGAGTTGATGAATAGGCCACCTCCTAGAGACTGCCAAACTGAGCACGGTGCGAACGGTGGTGGGCTTGATGATGGGGCTGAATGTCTCATCGAAGTCGACACCGGGGCGCTGCGTGAAACCACGAAGGACCCACCAAGCCTTGTAGCGGTCAAGGGAGCTATCGGCCTATAGCTTGTGCTTGAAAATGCACTTTCCTATCACCACGTTGATGTTGGGAGGACGAGGAACAAGCTCCGATGTGCGATTGACGAGGAGAGCGGAGAACTCCTCCGTGGCGGAGCGCCAGGGCGGATCGGCGAGGGCGGCCCTGTACGTCCTCGGGAGCGGGGAGAGCGTGTCGACATGGAGGTTGAGCCGGTCGGGGACCTTGTGAATGCCGTGCTTGCTGTGAGTGGACATGTGATGGTCGTTGACGACAGGGGAAGCGTCGAGCATGGATGGTGGCTTCGGGACGCCGGCCACACGAGCAGACCTTGGCCAAGTGGGAATGGAGACATGCGATGGAGGAAGCAGACTTGGGCATGGGGGTGCAAGAACCTCTGGCTCGGCTTGTGCTGCTTCGGTCAGCCCAGGAGACTTGGACGACCCAGCAGAGTAGTCTTGTCGTGGGCCAGTCGAAGGAGATGGCTCGGTGGAGCGTGGCCCATGTGTCAGCGGCCCATCGTGGAGCAACGCGCGTCGGCCTAGTGACAGGGCGGATGACCCAGGTGAGTGGGTGGCCTGCGGCACGGATGGCCCAGCCGACCGAGAGAGCGTCATCCTGTAGGCCGAGGGAGCTGGACTTGAGCTTGATGCAGCGGTGGCTGACCCAGGTGTATGGGCAGCCTGTGGTGGAGTTGGGGCGGCTGGCAAGGGAGCTGCAGGTCGTCGGTTGGCGCCGATAGGAGCCTGCACAGGGGTGGTAGAATCCTCCAAAAAATCAAGGTTAGTGGCACTTGTCGTTGTAGTCGCGAAGGGAAACGAACCCTCATCAAACACGATGTGCCTAGAGATGATGACTCTATTTGTGGCGGGATCAAAACACAGGTACCCTTTGTGGTGGAGTGGATAACCGAGGAAGACACACATGGTGGAGCGGGGTGCAAGTTTACAGGTGGTGGTGGCGGAGAGGTTGGGTAACACTTGCATCCGAAGACACGTAAATGTATGTAGGTGGGATGGACTCCATAAAGGGCAAAAAAGGGGTGCGGTGGTCAAGTGTTTTGGTTGGATGTCGGTTAATGAGGTGAGTGGCGGTGTGAAGGGCCTCAACCCAAAAGGTATTGGGAAGGCTAGCTTGGAAGAGTAGGGAGCGAACGATGTTGTTGAGGGAACGGATGATGCGCTCGGCTCTACCATTTTGGGGAGAGGTGTGGGGGCAAGACATGCGGAGGTGAACACCATTGGTGAGGAAAAAAGTGCGGGCGGCAGAGTTATCGAACTCTTGGCCATTGTCACATTGGACGTTGAGGATGGTGGTGGAACATTGAGTTTTAACATAGGCAAAAAAGTGGGGCAAAGTAGAGAAGGTGTTGGATTTAAAGCGAAGTGGGTAAATCCAAACATAGTGAGAACAATCATCAAGAATAACAAGATAATATTTGAAACCCGAAACTCTAATGACGGGGGATGTCCATAAATCACAATGTATCAACTCAAAATTGCTAGAAGCCCTAGTGACAGAAGTGGCAAAAGGAAGGCGAACATGTCGTCCAAGCTGGCAAGCATGGCAAACTCTAGGGGATCCACCTTTGGCCATGGGCACAACGGAGGAGAGCCGAGCAAGAGCTTCATGGCCGAGATGACCGAGACGACGGTGCTAAGTGTCGGTGGTGGTGGTGGCTAGAGCTGTGGCGGCTGTAGATGGAGACAAGGCTTGGTGGAGGGGGTAGAGCGGACCTGAGCTATTGAACCTGGCAATCATGGTCCTGGTGCGCAAGTCCTTCACTGAGAAACAAAAGGGATCAAACTCGACAGAACACCAATTATCAATAACGAACCGAGGAACGGAAATCAAGTTTTTGATAATAAGTGGAGAGCAAAGAGTAACTCGAAGTATAAAGGAGCGCTTCGGGTGATGTATGTCAGTTTGCCCTATGGACGACACAGGAATAGTGGAGCCATTACTGACAACGATGTGGGAGGGGGATGTAGAGTTTGGGGGTTGTGTGAAGGAGAGGGTACCAGAGTCGGATGTCATGTGTGCCGTTGCACTGGTGTCCATGTACCATTCGTTCGTGGCGGGCTGCTGAAGTGTCGTGGTGTTGAAAGAGCCCGCGAGAGACGCTTGATCCCATTGATAGGGAGCACCGGCGAACCAACCCATAGGCTGTTGAAAGCCCATGGGGGTGGGTGGCTGGGAGACCACCTATTGGGCTGGTTGGCCCTGCGCCCCATGCATCTAGGTGGCCTGCCACTGTTGGGCCGGGTGGGCGCCGACTGGGCCGGCAAGCGCAGCCCCAGCGAAGGGAGGCCCGGCCGGCCTTGGGCCGAGCACGCCACATGTGGATTGTGCCGGCCAACGGGTTGTGTGGCGTCAGCCACTGTTGGGCGCCGCCAGCGCCCGACTTAGCGCTGTTGCCTCCATTGTTGGCGGCTGGAGTGCCGCCGCCGCCTCCTCCTCCGTTTCCACCACTGCCGCCGCCGCCGCGACGACAACGATTCTTGGAGTTGTTGCCGCCGCCTTTGTTGCCTTGATTCCCTGCACCAAAACCGGTGGTGTGCGCTGGATTAGAGGTCTTGCCACTGTTGTTGGAGGTGCCGGCGAGGAAGACGGCCGAAGTGGTGGTGGAGTGCGGTGACTTGGAGATCTCCTCCAGGCGAAGAAGGGAGCAAAGCTCGGCGAACATCGGGAACGGGCGTTGCATGAGGATCGGCGACTGAAGATGGTTGAACTTGTCGGAGAGGCTGTTGAGGGTGTTGAAGACGAGGGTACGGTCACGAACAGGTTTGCCGAGGTCGCCACAGTCATCAGTGAGGGCCTTCATCTTGCGGCAGTACTCGGAGACGGGGAGGTCGCCTTGTTGCAATGTGGAACTCGGTTGTCAGGTTGAGGGCGTGTTGCTCTTGATTCCCGAGGAAATGGTGCTCGAGGCCTAGCCAAACGACACGGGCAGTGGTGTTGGTGGTGAGGACGTCTTGCAGGAGGTCGAAGGAGATGGTGCCGAACAACCACGTGAGGATGACGCAGTCCATTTGGACCCAATCGGCACGGTCGAAGTGGAAGGAGTCGGAGAGAACATGGTCCGTTAGCGCGTACTTGCCGAGAACCGCCAAGAACAGTCCACACCACCGGGTGTGGTTGGCGGTGGCGACGTCGAGCACGACGGAGACGAGGGCCTTGATGTTGAGGATGCCGACGGCTTGGGCATAGAGGGCTGCTAGGGCTGCATGCGTGGCCGGCCGCCGGATGTGACCAACGGGCGGCGCCGCGGCGCCGTGGGTGAGCCGTGCCTAGGCAAACAGGGTGGCAAGGGCCGGCGGTGTGGAGTCCGCGGGCGGCGGTGCGTGGATCGTCGCAGTGGGTAGGGACGACGCGTGGAGTGTCGCCGCGGGCATGGCAATGGCCGTCGCGCCGAGAGCGCCAGAGGTCGCAGCAACCGTGGCAACCGGTGACAAGACGAGGGCACTGAGGGCGACGGAGAGGGCCTCACGTGTGGCGTCAGAGGCGCGGGTCGCCGCAGACTCGGCAACGGTGTTTGCCGTAGTGGGGTCGATCTCCAGACCGACGGGAACAGCGAAGGCCGCACGAACAGCGTCTGCGACGGCACCGGCAGTAGAATCGATCGCGGTCGATTTCGGAGAGGGAGGGGTGGTGGAAGAGGACGACATGATGTCGCCGGGAACGCACGGCCGGTGAGGGTGCACCGGCGGAAGTGGACGCACGGCGGCGGAGCGACGCCGGCGGGTTATGCAGAAGCGAAGGATCGATGAGTGATTGATTCCATGTTAGACAGGAATGACTCATCGCGATAATGAATTGATCACGGAGCATTACATGTATAGGCATCCACTTTCCATACTCACTCAACCGATTTATGGAAACAGGATCGGGAGGAGAAGGAAGGGGAGTTGGTAATGAAGGGAAAGAGATTACATTCCAACAGCCTCGTCGTTGCTGGCCTTAGGTCGGCCCGACCGCCACACTGCTCCTCTCTTGTCGGCCGCCGTGCGCCCCTCCTCTCCCACCGGCCGTCGCGCGCCGCTTCCTCCCCGTCGTGCCTGAAGAGTGGAGGGGAGAGAGGAGGAAGAAGAGGGTGAGAATGACATGCCCCACCATTTTATATTATTTTTTTATATAACTGATTTGTGGTGTCATAGTTTTTATTATTTTTGAAATCAAATTTCCACGTAAGCACCATGTTAATGCCACCTCAGATGAAGACTGAGTCAAATTATCCACGTAGACGTCACGTCAGCTGAAACCGCTATCCAAACCGTCTTGAAACTTATTTTGCATCGGTTTTGATAGTTGAGACCTGAGGGGCTGGTTTTCGGGTTGAAGGACGAAAATTGGATTTGCTGACAAGTTAAGGGACCTCAGATAAACTTATTCCATATTTAAATCCTAACGATAATAAAGGGAATGGGCAGCAGACACGCCATAATGTACTAGTATGGCGGCATTAGACGATATTCCTAAAAACTATAAAAGATAAAGCCATAGCGAGTGGGGAATCAAGGGGAGGAAAGAAGTAAGAGGTGGTGGTTGCTGTGACTTTTAAAAACTGTAAAATTATAAACCTGATGACAATAAGGCTTGATTTTTTAAAAAATCCTAACACAACATGATGGTTGTTTAACAAATTTTAAAGAAAATCATGTATTAAAATAATTAGATAATTGCATAGGCCTCATTATGGCATCATGATTGCCCCACTCGGTCAATCCCACTCCCAGCGGCTGGACCACCCATGACCAATATTTTAAATAACGGGTTAAGACATTTAGCGGTTAACTTCTCAAAAGGCTATAGCGGCAGCTATATATAATAGGCTAAATAGAGCTATAGCAGCTAAATTGTACATGAGAATAAATAACTAGAGTCTTTCTCAAATAGCTATAGAGGAAGATTTAAAACCCTGCCCATGACCCATCCCTGCCCCTGGGGTTCCAAATTTCCAATTCTCCATCGTTCGAATCAAAAAGAAAAAAAAAAAGTTATCCACCGTTTCTTACTTTCTCAGGTTCCTATACCTATTCACTGAAACGGGAGCTGATTATGGATCTGGTCGTCGGCGCCTCGAGCGGCGCCGTGAAGTCCCTCGTCAACAAGCTGGGCAGCCTCCTCGCGCAGGAGTACACCCTCATCTCCGGCGTCCACGACGACATCCAGTACATCAACGACGAGCTCGCCAGCATGCAGGCCTTCCTCAATAGGCTCAAGCGGGACATCAACCACGACGAGCAGCGGCAGGACTGGATGAAGCAGGTGCGCGAGGTCGCCTACGACATCGAGGACTGTGTCGACGACGTCAGCCACCGCCTCGGCCGCGAGCCCCGTGGGGCCGGCAAGCTAGTCACCCTCCGGAGGGCTTGGTACCTGCTCACCACGCTGTACCAGCGCCGCTGCATCGCCGCCGACATCGGCAACCTCAAGGTCAGGGCGCAGCATGTCAGCGAGCGGCGCACGAGGTACGGGGTGGAGAACCTCCTAGCAAACGCAAATGGTGGAGGCAACAACAACTCCGGCGATCCCAGAGACCATCCAGTTTCTCTCCCCCGGCTGATTGGCACCGTTGAACCTGTAGGCATGGAGGACGCCATGAACGACCTTCAAAGATGGTTCATGGTCTCGAAGCACAACAGCCAGCAGCAGAGCCAAATCAGTTACCTTGCCATTGTCGGATCCGGTGGGCTTGGCAAAACCACACTCGCAATGTCATTTTACCGCAAGTTTGGAGATGAGTTTAATTCCAGAGCGTTCATGCTCGCGTCGCAGAAGTTTCGTCTCCCAACAGTTCTAAGAAGCCTTGTTAGCCAGTTCCATGAGAAGCAGGTCGGCGCTTCTCAGGATGCTCTCCAAGGAATTGAGGAATGGGGAGTTGAAGAGCTCAAGAAGAAGCTAGCTGATCAACTAGAAGGCAAGAGGTATAGATTTTGGCTTTGTTACTATATACTCCCTCCGTCTCTAAATATTTAACACCGTTGATTTTTTTAAAATATATTTGAGTTCGTCTTATTCGACAAATTTAAGTAATTATTAATTCTTTTTCTATTATTTGATTCATTGTTAAAAATACTTTTATATATACATATAGTTATACATATTTCACAAAAGTTTTTAATAAGAACTTACAGTCAAACATATGCTAAAAAGTCAACGGTGTCAAATATTTAGGGATGGAGGGAGTAATACAGAGTATTTATTTCATTCCTTCATAGTTTTCCTTGACTTTTCTGGTTTAGCACTTGAACTTATCTTTGGATAAGTCTCACACAAGTTTTTAGTAATTAAATAGCAATACCGAATTTGAATTATGATAGTTACTGATCTGGATAAATTGTACTTTCACCGTTCACAGGTAACAGTCGTTTTGGATACAAATAGTCTACAAAACACAACTTTTCAACAACATTTTTATTGTATATCTTAACTAATTAAAAGATTCGTATTTTTCCGTTCGTTACCTCAAACGTACGCAAATTTTTCGTCCGTCGCAACCCCCCAAATCCCAATCAGAATTCAATCCACCCCCCCCCCTAAAAAAAAAATCCCAATCAAAATTCAGTCATACAAATAAAATTGGAGAAAGCATATACCCAAATATATCCAAAAATTAGATCGAATGAGGTCGCCGCCGCTGTCGCCGTCGCAGGGACTCCAGGCCGCCGTCGGCTTCCTTCCTGGGGAGAGCGCCGCCGCCTGCCACCGCCCGCCACGGTCGAGCCCTCCCGTGGGCCGTGGCCCCATGGAGAGGGAGAGGAGGCGAGGGGTGGAGAGGCGCCGCAGCCCGTCACTGCTCGCCGGCTGCTGCTAAGTGCTGCCGCAGCCGCTCGGGGAGGGGGGAGGAGGGCGCCGCTGTCGCTTTCAGAGACAGGGGATCGAGGGCGCCACAGCAGCCGCTCGTGTGTGTGTGTTGGGGTGGGGGGGGGAGGGGATTAGAGGCGCGGAGAGGGGGAAAATGAATTTTTAGGGTTAGGGATTGCTGCAGAGTATATATATAGTTTGGGATCAATTTGGACCGTCCATTCGATCGGACGGCCCCGGCTTCTCCTTCATTGGGCCGCCACACTATTGGGCCTCCAGTCTATTCTGCCTACTGGGCTTGATGGCTCGTTGGTTCTATAGGCCTATTAGCCCATTAGGCCATAAAAGGGCCCATTATAATTGCTTATGACTACTTATTATTTTAATTCTAACTAAATTGTTTTCCTCATGATATGGATTTATTTTCTGACTAAAAATATAATTATTTATTTGTCGTGATACAAAATTTAAATTTAGACTAAAATTAAATAATATCAATTATTTTTTAATTCTATATGGTCTCTATTCTTCTTCAAATATTCCTATTTTTTTATTGTTTCTAATTGTATTTCTATATATGAACTCTAAACTCTTCTTTCAATATTTTGTATATTGAATTTTAATTCTTTTTCTAAATTGTATTCCTATATGCACCCTAGCCTCTTTTGGAGAATATTCTAGAGTCCTCATCCAATATTATTTATTTTCTAATTTATAATTTATACTTTATATTAAGTTGTTTTATGTACATATTCGATTGGGCAATGCGATTTAAAAAAAAACAAAATGAAAGAGTCCTGGTCTACAATGAGTTCTCCTTATTTTTTAACATGTGAATTTCTAGATCATAAGAGCTCATTTTTTTATTATTTTACTAAGTTAATAACGTTAGTGTTTCCCGTTGCAACGCACGGGCATCTTTTTTCTAGTATTTATAAAGTCCAATAACTTTATGCAGAATATAATAGGGAAAAAATATTGATACCCAAGTTGAAAATGTTTGGCAATATGTTTTGTGCCTGGGATGAGTACTACTCCCTTCGTTCTTTTAAGTTCAAATATTAAAGGAAGATATTCCCCATAAAAATATTAAACTAAGAAGGTAGTATAAAATATTATTTAGAGAGGAACTTTACGGTACCTTCTCAAGTACCGTAAAATCACACTCTATTTACAATTACAACTACCTTAAAAGCACACTCTATTTACAACTACTTACTTCTAAACAATTCTTGAACAGGTACCATATCTTGATTGATGACATATGGTCTGTATCAGCATGGGAAAGTATTAGGGATTCATTACCTAAGAATGATAAGGGTAGTTGCGTAATTGTGACTACCAGGTTTAACTCTGTAGCTGAAGCCTGCCGCCGTCAAAATGGTCATGTGCACAAGCTCAAACAGCTAGATCCAGAGAACTCCAACAAATTGTTTCTTCAAATAATATCTGCTAACGGTCTGTGTCCCACTCGAACCATTAATGATGAGATTGTCGTGAAGATGTGTGGTTGTCTGCCTTTGGCCATAGTAGTAGTATCAGGGCTCATTGCTAGTGAACTGAAATCAAAGATTGGAAAGACGTTGGATCAGAAATTGATTGAAGTGGAGAAGGCTTTAAGTGCAGAGTTGGGAAACAATCTCACCACTGAAGTAGTGCGGATAATTAACCACTGCTACAAAAATCTGCCACCTGACCTTAAGACATGTTTGCTCTACTTGAGTACGTTTCCGAAGGGCCGCAATATTAGCAGGAAATGTTTGATAAGAAGATGGATTGCTGAAGGGTTCGTTACTGACAAACATGGGCAGACGGCAGAAGAAGTTGCAGAAGACAACTTCAATGAACTCATTGGCAGGAACTTGATTCGGCCTATCAACAACAGCAGCAATGGGAAGGTGAAGAGCTGTCAAATTCATGACATGGTCCTTGAGTACATTGTCTCCAAATCTGGTGAGGAGAATTTCATCACTGTTATTGGTAGCCACTGGCAGACACCATTTCCAAGCTACAAGGTTCGACGGTTGTCTGTCCATAAAAGTGATCGGCAAGAAACTGAGTTAGTAGAGAGGATGAAGTTGTCGCATGTACGATCCTTGACTGTGTTGGAGAGTTTCAAAGCTCTTCATTCTAATATGCTCAAATTCCAGATACTGCAGGTGTTGGATCTTGAAGGATGCAAGGACTTGTCATCAAACCAGCTCAAAAAAATATGTAATATGCATCAGATGAAGTACCTAAGCTTGCGTGGGACGGACATCCACAAGATACCGAAGAAAATAGGCAAGCTGGAGTATTTGGAGGTACTTGACATAAGGGATACGAATGTGACAAACTTGCCTCCATCAGTGGAGAGGCTTCAACGAATGGCCCATCTATTGGCTGGCAATAAAACCAAGCGGAGAGCATTGAGATTAACTGAAGGAATCACAAAGATGACAACTATACAGACACTGTCTGGGATTGAGATCTCTGGAAGTTTAGCCACGTTTGCGGGGATCATCAGAAATGCTGTAAGGTATGCCGAAGATGGAGATATCACGGGCTTGCAAGGTACCAGTAAGGAAGGCAGCAAGGTGGATATGCCAAAACAATTGCGTCCGCTAGCAGCCTTGGAGAAGCTCACCAACCTTAACAAACTTGCCATTTACAGGATTGTTAAGTTCAGTGTGAAAGATGATGAATTGCTGCTCTCTGCTATTGAACATTTGAGCAGTTGTTCTCTCAAGTTTCTTGTAGTTGATGACAATTTCACGGGCTTCCTTTACAGGTCACTGAGTTCTTCACAAGCACCACCAGAACACCTTTACACCCTTGAGCTTTCTGGCAGCTTGTTTAAAGTGCCAGAATGGATTGACCGCTTGCATAACCTTGAGAAGCTTACTCTGTCCTTGACTTCACTTACGACACATACTTTGGTGACTCTTAGTAGGCTTCCTGAGCTTTTCTCTCTCATTTTTTCACTTGATGCAGCAAAGGATATTTCAAATATCCTCAAAACTGTGCATAAGAATACATTGGAGTCAGGAGGTAAAATCTTTGTGCCGGATGGGGGGTTTACAAAGCTGAGGTTGCTGCGTTTTACGGCACCAGTGCTACCACCTCTGAGCTTCCTAGAAGGGGCAATGCCAGAGCTTCAGAGGCTTGAGCTGAGGTTCAGAATCATTGAGTGTGTATACGGCCTAGAAAACCTTTCAAGTCTCCAACAGGTATTTCTGACCTTTAGCAGCCAGGCACCTGAAGATGCGAAAGAGAAGATCTCCCAGATCAAAGGACTGGCAAGCAAGATTCGAAAGGCTGATTCCTCCAACATTAGTGTGGTGATAGATGAGTACAACGAATTATATAACGAACAATAGATTACCTAGTCATAGGCATTGGGTAGAGAGGCCAAGGCCCACGAGGCCACGAGCCCAAGTCCTAGCGGATGAACAGTACCTCGAGTACTGTAGCAGTTGGTTAGGAGATAGGACAAGATTAGATAGAGTTAGTTTGAGTCAGTTTCTTAAGGGTCAAGTCATATCATCTCTATATAAGGGATGGTTTGTATTCATCTCAAGTTAAGCAATGAATATCAATTAGTCTTTTTTCTCCCGATAATGCTCTTCTCCCTAGCCTAAATCTACATCTCTTCTCTAGGAGCCAACGTCACCCGGCTATCCTCCCGGTGGTGTTTATCCCGTCAAGGCCTCGGGTCGTGACAACTTGGTATCAGAGCCACTCACCATGGCTTCTGATGTCGAGAGAGTTCTCCATGTCACGGTGAGCAATCTGCTCTACCCAGTGACAAAGGATCTACTCCATCAAGTGTTCTGTTGTTAACGACTAAATTTGGTAATTCAAGTATCGGAGATGAAGATAAAATCGAAGCGGAATCTAAGAGATCGATTGTTTCGGAAACAGAGCAAGAGTCGGCTGAAGTTCGAATCGGCTGCGACCTAGATCGGTAGAGTTCGAGTCGGCCAAGGTTGTCGATTGAGCCGATTCCGACAATATGACTGGGTATACGTCATCGGATCGGGTTAATGTGCTTCATATGGATTGCCACGCATGGATTGAGTCCTGGGAAGACAATTGTATCTATTAATTAGAATATTTTTTGTAATTTCCTTATACTTTGAGTCGGTAAAAGTCCGCCTTAGGGACTTGTTTGTATCCTAAGTTGTAATAGAGTTAGGAGTCGTGTCCGACAAGGACATATTGTGTACTTTAGGTATTAAAGTAGCCCAAACCCATGTAATCAATTAACGCACAGTTCAATAACAATCTCAACGCATTGCCACCCTTTTACTTTCGTTTGTTTTCGACGAGTTCTTGCTTTCGAGTTGGGCTGCATCGGGTTCGATCTCCGACAAGAGGTAAAGCTTGTTATGGCGGCTTGCGTTCTCAGGATTAGTGCTTCCATCTTTATGACACTCTAATCTTGTTTATGTAAGTTGCCGAGTTATCATATGTGCTATATAATCTAGATCAATATTGCTATGTAACCCTAGATCGGCTAGCATCTACTACCAGGTAACAGCCGATAGAGTTAGATATCAACGTTGACTTAGATTATATAGTGCATCTACCATCTCAAAATACTTTCATCAACTTGTTTAGATCTTATGCTTCTATTTATGCTTAATGCTGCATCGGTTGGGTCCGACCTATTAAGTAATACTTAGAATCATAATATCTAGTTTGTTTTTGTTATTAGAGATAGCATCGGGGTTTCAGCCGATCTTACCTAATTTGGTTATTTTGTTTACTTTATGTTTACTTGATATACTAAATCTGCCCTTTATATTAAGATCTCACTGTAATTAAATATATTAAGCTTGTTATTAATCTGTTAAACTACATTAACACTTGATTAATTCCTGTTTAATATATTTGATCTATATTGATATCCTAGTATAAAGTAGTGTCGGAGTATTAGCCGATACATGTTAAATCTACAACATCGGCTATGCTATAAACATATATAATCTTTACATTGAAGTACTTTTAGACATAAGTGATTTATACTGTCTCGGCAAGCTGGTCTGATCTATCCTAATCACTTGGTTTAAACATATTTCAATCTATAGATTATATACTGTTAATATCTACAGCCGATCGACTAGATTTAACTTTCTTTTTGCTTTATATATCATTGCCGATCTAATTCACGTTACATCGGCTAACTTACAAACGATATGTCATCAGCATGTGGCCGATCGGCTACCGTTTATGGATTTAACTATGTTTTTTTGTTTGTTTCTTGTTGGTTGCAGGATCAAACCAACTGGCACGCCCTTAAACCCAAAAGCAAGATTTAGGTCCTGCACTAGAGTTAAGCAAATCTCTCAGGCCAGTGTATGTTTTTCGCATCAACATTTATGCTTATGGAGCAGAGAAGATCAACATGCAGCAGATGAGAACAGATGTGGAGGCTTCAATTAAATTCCAATCTCATGCGGATGCAGAGTATGCACAAAAAGCCTTCCATGGCCGCAACATCTACGATGGCTGTTGTATCTCCAGTACGAACAGACCTCCACAACCAGGATCAAGGAGTTAAAAGCATCGAGGAGTTGAGGGTCGTTCTCAAGGAATTGGCGACCTTAATTCAGGAGAAACTGGTGAAGAAAGAGGAATGGCATAGCAAGCAGGAGGCCATAGAGCAGGACATGGCAGTGGGCATGGTGATGCCGTCACCGATCTCTACACCTCCAACTCAGCCGGCGGGTTTGGAGGCATGCAGACAGCGTTGTCTGTCCTCTCCACTGCAACCACATCCACAAGTCTTGAAGTGGTGCAAGCGGATCAAGGTCACCCATGGGTGACCACCTAAGAAGGGGTTGCTCCCCAACCAGCCATGGGTGGTGATTCCCTCCACGGTGTCGTTCAAGTCGACGTGGTCCGTGGCCATTAGATTGCAGCAACAGCCAGGGAGCGAGGGACAGGGTACGCTTCCAGAGGATCCTCCACTGGTCCTGGCAATGGCGCCGTTGTTGGCGAGGGGGAGTGATGCTGACGAGCAGGGCTGCATCTTGGGGGTCACAACCTCCGGGACAAATAGTTGCAGCAATTATATTAAGTTTTATTTAGGGAGTCGTGTACGTCTAGAAGTCTGCTATATGTTGCAGCTCGAGGACAAGCTGCTCAAAAGGAGGTTGTAGTGTCATAGGCATTGGGCAGAAGGCCGAGGCCCACAAGCCCAAGTCCAAGTGGATGAACAGTACCTCGAGTACTGTAGCAGTTGGTAGGAGATACGATAAGATTAGATATAGTTAGTCTGAGTTAGTTTCTTAAGGGTCAAATCATATCATCTCTATATAAGGGATGGTTTGTATTCATCTCAAGTTAAGCAATGAATATCAATTAGTGTAATCTCTCCCTCCTAATAATGCTCTTCTCCCTACTCTAAATCTACATCTCTTCTCTAGGAGCCAACGCCGTCCGGCTATCTTTTCGGTGGTGTTTCTCCCGTCATGGCCTCGGGTCGTGACATAATCTCCATAGTTGGAGGGAACCAGTGTGTCATCGATGTGTTGTACCTACTCCATCTGTAGTCTTTTTGGTTTTATGATTTTCTGAACTATTTACAAATTCTTGTATTGTTCTTTTGTTGAGCTGTGGCATATTTGTTTCGTCTGCTGTGCTCCCAAAACTCTGCTAGTGTAAAAAAAATGTCATCTGTTTTCCTAAGAAAACTAATAAATATAAAGGTGTTTCACCAATTCTAATAATATTTGCCTACTTAATGATGCTATTTATTTGCCTAGCAAATTTTAACTTGAAACAAATATCTGTTTTCAGTCTCTAATTGGGTTCAATGATCCCTGACAATTAATTATTGCCTGTAGAAGGATTCACTAATCCAAGTAGCTGCCAAAATATTTTTAACCAAATTTCAGTTTTAGTAATTCTAGAATTCTAGTTAGTTCCTGTCAAGAAATGAATTCTAGTTAACCGTTTTTATTCTAGTCAACAATGTTTGTAACGTGTATTTGTTTCTACATCCAAATATTCCGTAAGAAAATATTGTATTTACAAATACCTTCCTGGAATCAACTTGTATAGTGTCTCGATTTAATTTTCAATGCTAGGAGTTCTGCAGTTTTTTCTATGTTGCTCATTCTGTTGACGAGTGATACCCGTAGACCGGATGATTAGGGTATTGGGGTTCGCTGGTATGAGGATCTACGTAGTATGATATCAAGCAAACACAAAGACAAGGATTATATTGGTTCAGGCCCCTTATCAAGTAATAGCCCTTGTCCAATTTATATGAGATTATATGGAAGAAACCACATATTACAATAGGAATAGATGAACTCGACGATACCGATGAAATTGTAGTCAATGGATTCGACGAGATCTCCCGGTGACTTAGCTCTGCGTGCTCCGGCTTCGTAAACTATGGCAGGTGTGTTGGTGGTGAGATTCAATGCCTTGAATCCCTCTCAGGGGTCCCTTTTATACCGTGGATCATCTTGATCTCCAAGTAGGACTCGGAGACATCGGATCTCGTACGATATAGTAAGACCCTATCCTTTCCGAGTAGGACTTCGTCCGTCGCTTGTCCCGTAGAGACATTTTCCATAACATCTGGCGAATTTCCTTAACGCATACGGAGATAGCTCGTATTTGTGATGGTATGTTGTATCCGTATATTCCATAAGTCCAAGGAAAGAGGGTATGCCTTATCCATAACCATGACAGTAGCCCCCGACTTCAGCTTAAATGAACTCACGTTGTCATGCGCAACTTCGCTCGTCAGCACGTTGTCGTACTCGCTTGGTCGATCCCGGTATAAAACCGTAGAGACACGGAGCCAGCAACAATGCTGAAGGAAGTTCAACGGTCGTGAGTGAATTTAAATTGAAGTCTAAACTACAGCCCATAACGAGCTTTAGAAATTTTCGGCAGCAATCTCTCTCCTTTCCTTAGGATACGAACCGTGTTGTTGTGCGCCTATTTAAAGGAATTTTGGGATCCATTTCAAATCTGTTTGCGAGAAAATTCTTCCATCTTCCCGGCGCTCTTGACCCCTCCGTCCCCAAAAAACCCTAGCCTTTTTTCCCTGTTCACTTCCCGGCGATCTTCTGGCGGCCATGGATCTGGAAAAATCATCTTTTGACACCGCCGCCATGAAGAAACTGCAAGAAGGGGGCTCTACCCGGCCGCGGGACCATGGAGCGGGACAAAGGAGGTACTGAACCCCATCCCATCTTAGGTCGTATGGTAGTGGTAGAGGATTTCGTTTATTGTGGTTGTCTACCTCCACCTTCCGAATTCCTCCTGCTGATCTTGAACTTCTACGGTCTTTCTTTGCTTCATCTCAACCCCAATTCGATTATTTTCCTGAGCATTTTCGCTCATCTCTGTTGTGGTAGTGCCTTTTCTCGATCTCTTCTGCTACTACTACGAGCTTCATTGGATGGAATCCAGCAGGATCTCTGGATGCTACGGATTTCGCCTTCAGGATGGCATGAAGGCGAAATACATTCCCTTCCAATACCCCTTATCTCGTAGCAAGTGAAGATCGAGGTGGTTTTAACTTCAGATCGAAAACTCAGAGCCTGTCCTTGTCGTTCCCGAGAACCAACCTGAGTGATCTCAAGAGTGGACCTCGAAACCTCCCTTGACTTCTTCTCTCCAAGCATTCGTGGACATCATAGATGATCTGCGAGTACAAGGACTGACCAGCTATGAGGTTGCTGTCGACTTCATAGGTCGTCGAATCCAGCCGCTGCAAGCCCGTGTTCACCCTGCTTATGACTACTCTGGGCCGGACGATGTGACCCGGATCTCGCAGCGGGGTACTTGTTCTCGCGTTGTTACCTTATTCTGCGTCTACAGTTTTTTCAGATCTAACCAAGGTTAGTTCCTTATCGTAGGTCTTGACAGCGCCACCGTAGCCCAGAGGGTGTGCCAAGTGATGATTAGCCTGCCTTCGAAGGCGGCCGAGATCCTGGCCCCGCTCTGTGAGCAAGGTGGCACAGAACGAGCTACCGCCATCAACGTAAGCATAGTTGACATCCGTTTCCTCTTTCTTCCGAGAAAACGATATGACCTCATCTTTGCAGGCTCTACCTCTAACGGACACCATTGGCCCACTCGTGGATCACCAAGCTTCCGCCTTACTTAAGGAGAAAGTCTCCAAGGAGGCTTCCGACGTCGCTGCTGCTGGGGGCAGCAGGACGTCGAAACAGAAGAGGTGGGCGACCACAGTCACCGGCACTGGGTCTCGTCGCAAGGTGAGCGGTTCCGAGGTGAGTCGTCTTCGGTGTATTGTTGTCGTGAAAAGGAGCGAGCAGATTCTTATTTTACCATCTCACTTAGGACGCGGGCAACCTCCCTCCAACCCCGAGAAGAAGACTGGTAAAGCTGGCGGCGAACAAGTGAGCAAAAAAATGGAACCTTTTTCTCCTTCACGAATTCCCTTCTAATATTGTCTTCTGACGGACACGATGTGATGTCTTCAGGGCCTCCTCGACGTCATTGGCCCACAGCAGGGGTGAAGTCGCAACCAGCACGACTACCGCAGCGGCTGTGCTTACTGCCACTGCTGTAATCGGGGATGCCCCTGTCGCGGCCGAGCCTGCTCCTGACGTCGTCATAGCCTTACTTGCTCCTCTTCCGCCAGCTGCTATCGAGCCACTGACTTTGACGCAGATGATGGCCGAGATGAAGCGCCTCCTCGACGTTGGTGCTCGGGGGTGGCTCGGGTGATCGAGCAGGCGAACGCCCGCGTGACCTCAGCAGATGGACGTGTGGCCCAGCTTGAGCAGGAACTGGAGGTGGCTCGCGAGGACCTTCAAAAGATGAAGGAACTCGTGGCCGGGAACGAGTCGTAGCGGCAAGGCCTCGAAAGGCGGATGTCTGAGTTAGAGGACCACCTCGCTTCCATCCGTGCTTCGCTCTGTCAGAGCTTCACAAGCCTTCACCAGAAGGCGGGGGCGTGCGGAGTTGAGGCCAAGATCCTGGAGCACCCTGACGAGACCTCGGTGACATCTTCGCTGTTCACCCTGGCCCAAGCGATGGAGGTAATTCCTTCGAAGCATGCGGCCAAGGTGTCTGATGAGATCGCCAACGGGATCCACACCGGGGCTTGCCATCTCCTTGCGTGTGTGAGGCTTGCGCAGCCCAACTTGGATCTTAAAGAGATCTTGTCGCAGGGGGCAGCGAATGACACACGCGAGGACGTGATATCGGACGTGGTGGATCTAGGGGAAATTGTTCCTTCTCTATTTGAAGAGTAAATTTCTTCTTTTGTACTTTTTGATTTCGTGCCATAAACATTCTAGGCTTGTATTGTCGTTTCGGAACAATTATCCCTTTTGGGTTTTTCAGCACGTAATTCGCAGTACTTGTATTTTGTAGATATCTTGATGTCGAGGACGTCCAGCAGAGCGGACATCCTGATTCGCCATCGCGGGGAGGAGCGGCGGTTTGGCAAGGACGGCAAGAACGCTAATCCGATCACTATTTTTTCCTTTAATCGCTGGTTACGCGAAGCGGAGTGGGAGATCGCTAATTGCAAGGTGATCCAAATTTTGATACAAGCCGTTGGATGAATAGATCTAAGGGATAGAAAAGACAGGTGTTTGATGAACTGGTGCTTTTTATATTAGTATAGATAGATGTTCGGATTGTGTCATCAATTTTGTGGAGAGTGCTACGCATCGGACGTCCGGAGATTTGCAAATCTCCGGACGGTGTTGCAATGTATGTAGAATGAATGTTGCAATGTTTCATCGCTCGAAAAAAAATGTTTCAACATGAAATCTCCGAACGATGTTTCATTGTATGTTAAATGAAATGTTGCAATGTTTCATCGCTCGAAAAAAAATGTTTCAACATGAATTAAAGATGTTTCATCTTTCACTGAAGAATGTTTCATCGCTTTATTGAAGATGTTTCAATTGAATGCAACACTCAAAACCCAATATGTGCAACATCCGAAGATACCAAATGCAACATCCAGTACTGATTTAAGAAACATCCAGAAAAGACGGATTACAACATCACAAACACACTATGTGCAACACAAAAAACATATGGTGTGCAACAATGCTCGCTAGCTAGGTCGACGTTGCCACAAGCCTCCTCACCTTCGCCAACCTTATAGTGTGGGGGACGACGATGGCAACGGCGGGCGGAGGGCGGCGGTTGGGATTGGAGAGGATGGCGTAGGCGTCGTGGACGAGGCTGAGGGCGACATCGGCGCCCGGGTGGGGGTTGGTCTCCTGCCTGAGGAGGAGGGCGAGGCAGCGGTAGGCGTGGGAGACGGCAGCGTGGTCGGCCGGGTTGGTGGCCGAGGGAAGCTGGATGACAGCGAGCGGGTCGGCGTGGACCAAGGGGAGGACCGACTGGGAAGCGAGGAGGACGTCGGTGACGGTGAGGAGCTCGTCGGCACCAGGGAGGGGCGGGTCCACCTCCACCGCGCGCTCTGCGAACCGCTTGCACCTGACGAACTCCCTCGCCGCGAGGAGCTTCCCCACGATCTCCAATCACCGCTCCGCCTGCACCCTCCCGGACGCGACGCTACCTCCGCCGCTGCCGCTGGCCGCCTCCACCTCCGCCGCCGGAGAAGTCCATGGTAGGGGAGAGAAATGGGGGAAATGGTTTTGGTTTTGGATGAGGAAGAATAGGATAAGGTTGGAGAAGGGATGGGTTTCTGATGTGGGTCCCTACGCGTCCGGAGTTTCGTTGTTATCGGACGTACGATACTAAGCGTTTTCGCAATTTTGTTGCAGTCACATAATCACCCAACCTTTGTCTAGGCAATAGATTCTAGAAGCACGAAAGTTTGCTTCTTTTTTCTTTTCTTTTTTTTTCCTTTTCGTAGCTGTGCAATTTTTTTAATTGCTTTTGAGATGGTAATTTTCAACGCAAAATCTAAATCGAGAGCACTCTCGATTTAGTCATAACGAGCGACCCCTATCCAGATATGTGTTAACTTGAAGAATCTTACTTTACTATATTACTAATCCATTAAGTAAGTAGGGGAAATATTCCTATCATCTATGCTTCAAATAAAATTTTCTCTTAAATTACTCATCCGATTTACAATCCGATTACACTGTTGTGTTCATAATAATTAAATATTTACAACAAGAACTCACATGATTATATTTTAATAAAAAATCACAAATTACTTTTATGATATGTCTAAATTACTTTTAGATTTCACTAAGTTACTTCTTAGACATATAAAAGTAAATTAAGTAAAGCCTAAAAGTAATTTACATATATTATAAAAGTAATTTACATATATTATAGAAGTAACTTATAACAAAAGGAAAGTAACTTTAATTAATGCCTTTTTTTCATTGAACAAACTATCATATATATAATTATCATATATATAACTTACTTTTAGATTTGATTAAAATACTTCCTATACATTCATAATGCTCTGAGGTGATTACTTTTATTATTGTTTTTAGTTAATTCTATAATTTGTGCTGATTAATTTAATTTCTAGATAGAGTCATGTTTTTATCTGTACAACGGATTTACTTCAAATGACATGCCAAAGTTACCTTTGTTTTGCTCTAAGTTACTTCTATAATATATGTAAAGTACTTTTAGGCTTTACTGAATTTACTTTTATATATCTAAGAAGTAACTTAGTGAAATCTAAAAGTAATTTAGACATATCATAAAAGTAATTTATGATTTTTCATCAAAATATAATCATGTGAGATCTTATTGTAAAGATTTAATTGTTACGAACACAACGGTGTAATCGGATCGTAGATCGGGTGAGTAGTTTAAGAGAAAATTGCATTTGAAATATAGGTAGATAGTATCTCTTATAGATGGAGTGGTAGCTGGCTATCACTAGCTGTGTAGTTACGTCCAATTTTCAACTCTTAGCTCGTCATGTTTATGTGATACTTCATGTATAGCAACCAATCAGGTATTGTAGGTAAAACATTGACAGCATGATGGCCAGAAAAGAAAAACTGTTTGGGGTAAAGCGTACCGACTCGCATAGGCCAGCTTGGCACTTTGGCAGTATGAATGAAAAACTAACTAAACAGTACACAAAATAAATTCCTCTATAGCTATTGCATTTTCAAATACCTCGTTTCCTAACTGGGTTGATACAACTCGGAATGCATATTACATAAACACACAGAGTGCAAAAGAAACTTGATGACACAGTGGAGTGTATCACCTCTTGTTCATTCTGAATCAGAATCTTGAGCGGTTGAAGACCTAATCCTCCTGTTCATTGACATATCGGTTTCGTCGTCTTCATCGTCCTCATCCTTCTTCTTTTCGTCGATTATACCTACATTATTGTGTGTTATCATATTTGTCATTTCAATGTTTTGACAGAATTGTGTATGGAGATGTAATAGAGATACCTTTCATCTTGAGTATATTTTCCAACGCTCTTGTTGAAAAATCATCTTTACTGCCAAGGTCTTGAAACCCAACTAACCGGTCAACAGCAATGCCCTTCCTAAAGAACAAAATTTCAGTTCGAGAGCAAAAACAGAACCCTGACTATTGGATTGGTCCTCGCATGATGAAAAGGTTATAGCAAGGAGCACCAAACATTTAAGCACACGTTATCCAAATCCGATGGGTAAAATGATGAAAGTTTATGCACTTACTTGAACAATATCACGCAGGGCAATGTTTTGATTCCTAGTTTCGTGACAAAGAAAGGAGCATTCTGGAGTAGTTATTTACAAGATTAGACATCATCTTTGTAATAAAATACAAGTAACTGGATGCTAATAGAGATAGCATACTAACTTCAGCATCAAGCTTGATGAATTTAGTTCCCAAATAGACTGGTGCAAGGGTCTTCAAATGCTTATCCATGATCCTAGAAAAGATTTAGATAGGTGTCCATGAATTATCATCAGGGTCAATTAATTATCATCAGGTCAATTATAAAACAACTTATTTTTAAAAGAACAAATTATGTCCTACTTGCAACGGTAAAATTCACGGTGGTAGAAATGGCAGATGACCTTTTCGCTGCCAGTGACCTCTCCTAGGAAGTCCCCTTCAGTTATCTCCCTATATTCACCATGACCTTGCCTTTTTAGCACTTCACGCTTCTCGACCTCTTTCTGTTATGCACAGGAAAATGAATAACTTAAAATGAAGATTATCCACACAGGTTCACAACCTTCAAGGGCAATGTGCAGATCAGTACCTTCAGAGCAGCAATTCTCTCCGCATGCAACTTCTCAAGCTCTGGATCCTATAGTTGTAGTTCCACAGCATGATAGATAAAAAGGTAATCAGTGCTTCAAACTGAAGGAAAAAAAACAAGAGAAATATAGAAGATACTATAGTTAAACTCACATCCAATAATTCATCAAGATCAACCTCATCATGGCTTGCATTTGCTGCTTGGGCTTTCTCTTTAGCTACAATTTCCTAACATGTTAACTATGTCAGTATACAGGAAAAAAAACAAAAGGGGACAGAGAGAGTAGTATTAGCCTGTTTTGAAAGCAAGTTTGTTTTTAAAAAATGCAAGAGGTTCAAAGCACTGGAACAAGAGTGTAAAAATACAGTATTTCACCCCCATTATAACAAGGACATAAATGAAAATGACACAAACAATAAGAGAAGATATAGCTCGCCAATCATATCAAAAGGAGTGAAGAATCAAGTATAAATAATGGAAACGAGTGATGTGCGTGGAGGACAGTTATATCCTTTTGTACTATACTTTCGATGCAAACCCCCAACAGTTTGTTGCTGTCAATATACAGAAAGGCCATTTTGATAGAAAAATGAATACCTACAAATTTTACATAACATGAATTCATGAGAGAGCAAAAGGCATCAGAAGGTAATCCATTTTCAACATACATAAGTTAAGAACACCCGAATGGAGAATGATCCACTGCAACTTTGATTATTGCAAACTTGCAAACCATATTCCAATCTAACCACATTTATAGGCTGCCTAAATGGGAGGAGCACCCTTGTTTTTGTGTACCCTGAGGTGCCATAAAGCATTATCTCCTATCCAGCATAGAATATACTGGTCTCTAGACCCTGCACCATCACTCTATTTGTTGTCCTGGAATACATGACTGGAGCTAATCCATCCTCCGAATGAACTGTCCCCCACCCCAATGTTCCCAGCCAAAGATTGGATCATGCTACAGCAACACCAGGACAGAGCAGTCTGGAAGGCAAGACTTTTCACGTGAGCTAACACCACTCCCATAGCCAAATGCCCAAATCCAATGCACCTGCCCTTTCTCAAGACAAAAAATCACACTGTTGTGTTACCAGGATCATCCTCCACGTTGATCTATGGTTATACCTTCCACAATCCATGCCTGTGGCAAAGCTGAGTGGAGGCAAATCAGACACAAGTTCTAAAGATAGGTGTACCAGACTACAATTCACTCCCAATCAAAAACCAAGATTTGATCACGCGCTGGTTCCGAGATCCAGGAGCACACTGGCTCCACGGCCACCAACCAGCCAATTTCACGACCCAACCCGCTGGATCAGTTTTTTACCCCCATTACAACAAGGACATAAAATGCAGTTGACACAAATAAGCAGAGAAGATTATAACTTGCAAATCACATTGCAAGGAGTGAAGAATCAAGTGTGTGCATGAAGGACAGTTATACCTTCCTCTACACTTTGATGCAAACACCACATTTTGTTGCTGTAAATCTAGGAAGAATATCAAAAGGATTACCTGCAAATGTTACATGACATGCATTCGTGGCCTAAGAAGGTAACCCATTTTGAACATGTAAAAGAACGGCCAGATGTATCATGATCCACTCCAACTCTTTGTTATTCTAAACTTCCAAAATATTATACTCAAATTGATCCATGTTTATTGGCTACACGTGAGAAGCGCCATTGTTTTTGTGTACACTGAGGTGTCATAAAGCAGCATACTCCTATTCAGCATGGAATACACTGGTCTTCAAACCCTGCAACATCAACACAGGACTGGAGCTAACCCATCCCCTTTATGAACTAAACCTCCCCATGATCCCAACCAAATACCAGATCAAGCTAATACCACCCAATTGCTAAATGCCCAAATACATGTGCCTGCCCTTTCCCAAGACGAGAAATTCGCATTGTCGTGTTACCAGATCATCTTCCCCGTTACCTCTACCTTCCACAATCCATGGCTGCAGGCCTGCAGCACAGCTGAGCCGAGTGCTCCGCGGCCGAATCAACCGCCCGTCAACCCCACTCCCAATCAAGAACCGAGATTCGATTCCCCCCCGCTGGTGCCGAGATCCATCCAGCAGCACGCCCGGCTCCGACACCAACCTCCACAGCCAATTCCGCGAGTGAGTGAGAGAAGTCACCTTCTGGTAGTCGCGGGCGGCGGCGGCCATGACGTTGCCGAAGGCCAGGTTGGAGAGCGTCGACTTCACCGCGTCGGGATCCATCTCTCCCTCTCGGCGCTCGCCTCGCTGCTACTCCCTCCGCTACGCTCCGCCGCGCCTTCTTCTTCCCCCTCCGCAACCGCGGCGAGCGCCGCCGCTTCTGCTCGGCCGCCGAGATCTCCTCCCCTCCGGCTCCGGTTCAGGTGGCGCCGCGAGAGAAAGAGCGAAGTGGTGCGTGTTGCGTTGCGGGTGCAGGTGAAATCAAAGCCCGATGGGCCAAATTCTTTCAAACTGTTCCAGCTTTTTTTAAAAAAAGTATTTTTCTTTCAAACTACGTATATATTGACTAACCTTTCATAAAACTATAAATATAAATTTAAGATGATGTATCGTGATTTATTGTTAAAACTGTAGTTTTGTGATATATCATTTTAAATTTATAGTTTTACGATAATTTAATCAAAGTATATTTTAAATATTTAGTTCCGCGATAATTTAATTAGTTTTGTGAAGTTAATTATCTTTTTTTCGGTTATCTTTTTTTTAAGCACCACTTAAAAAGTTGCGGTATTGGTACCACACTTTGAAGACTACTGACTGAGTAGAAATTTCCTCTATTCTGGTTTAAAAGGCGCATTCTTGGTTTTTCTGGTACCAATTCAAATTCAAATACAGTTTTACCGTATTGTCATCTGGTTTAAAAGGAGAATTATTTGTCTACGTTTCTACTCAAGCTGTCACCAACCAAAGTATCAAACACAGAGCATCAGGTATTCAGGCATCCCTACCAGACAAAACTCATTGCAAGGTTTCCTAATACCAGAAGCACATATTTTCCCTTGTTCAGATCACCAACCTAACATGCACAAGAAATGAGCTCATCGAAATAAAACTGTGAAACCATTCATCGTATAAAAATCAAATGCTGTTGTCATTTTTCAGATAGGTATTCCCTTGTTACAATGTACAAAAAAAGACAAACGATATTGTTGTGCATTTGGCTGCTTAAAAACCGAAACGCCTGCTTCACCGCTTAATTTGTATCATCTCCTGTACAGCTGGATAGTGCCGCAAGTCCTAAATTAAGGTCATCATTGGTATAATCATGGGCTACAGATTATAGAAGCCCCAGAGACTTCAGCTGTTGGACATGCTCCGAAGGGAGAGGGGGCGGACACCAATCCGCGCGCTCGCCATCGACATCTTCCACAACATATTCCTGTAAGAACCAGATACAGCTTAAGTGCAGAAGGAAATAAACTAAAGTCAAAGACTGAGAAATAAGCGGCAAACAGAACTCACCTTAGTTAACATTCGTTTTGCAAGAATATGGTAGTGTCTCTGCCAGATCCGCTGACCCACCATGGTTGCTACCAAGACGCTGTAGAAAATGCCGATAACTGTGAATAGTCCAAGCACGATTACTCCCATGATAAAGAGCAATGGTAACCCTGCTTCTCCAGCACCACCCAAGCAACCACCACACTCTCCAGCTGTCGTTGCACAGCCCTCAAAGCATGTAGTGCAATCTGTCCACATGCAAAGCGTACCAGGTAGATGGCAATCTGCACACATCCTGAAACAGAAAAGAACAATGAGCAGTGCTGATGAAACAAGCATGCAGCATTAGTAGCTTGTTAATACAATTGCTAAATTAGTTGAAGCATACCCTGGTTGGCAGCAACAAAGACATAACTCTCGACAAGGCTGTGCCAGGTCATTCCGTACTCTTCGGTCATAACAAGTTATGAAGCATCCTGATAACCCAAGCAAAGCAAAAAATAGCAATGCCCCTGTAACCATAAGAACAATACTCAAATTTAGTCCAGATTAAACTAATATGCGCAAGAGAAGGTACGGTGAATCTTATAGCGAGTCTTCCCACAGATTTAGTGAGTATATATGAATTTTCCACATAATATCTATTATCACAATTGGCAAATCTTAGTTCCTCATAATATAAGTAACAGAGCCCAATGAATTCACGCAGTAGGGAGAATACGACATGCATATCATATATCCACTTCTTTACATACTTGGCTATGATACAGATGAATATCCTAGCTTGCCCAATTCTCCGTTCGTTTGTGATGAAAGGGGCAGATTATCCCTCGGTTTCCGTTAGCACGCTTTTCAAACAACTAAATGGTGTGCTTCGTGTGAAAACTTTCTATATAGAAGTTGCTGTAAAATATTCGATAAAATCCATTTTTCAAGTTTAAAATAATTAAAATTCAATTAATCATGTATTAATGGCTTTCTTGGTTTGCGTGCCCATACTTAATCTTCATCTTTATCACTTGTGAACACCTCATTAACAAAGAAAGTTCAACAACTCAACCATGTAACGAACATGTGTTCCTGATTAATCCAGCCATGTGAGCTACACTCAGGTAGTTTGGTTGATATAATTGGCATTTATTTATTGAGCCGAACAAAGTTAATTTATTGGCATTTATTTATTGAGCCGAACAAAGTTAACTAGATGTCTATAAAACTGTTCATTGCGATGTTTCAGCAAGAGCTCAGAATTAATCAAACTGAAGGCATTAATGTAAAAATGGGTGAAATGAGCAGCTCATGTCAGGAGTTTCTTGTTAGTTATAGGGTTATAGCAAATTAGAAGCAGAGGTGCTTGGTTTCGAAGGACACATGCCTCGAATAAGTCACAAGCAAACTATAACATATTCAAGTGACAACAATTACCATGCATTAAACAGGGAAAAGTAGCTTGCTCTTTCCTATTCGATACATATATCATTCACTCTCATATCACATTTCTACACTTAAATTCCTTTTTACAAGCCCATCTCACCCATCATACATGAAACAAGATTGAGCCATTGAGGTTCATCGTGTACGCACTGCACATTTAACCTTGTAAAACCTACAGCGCCCATGTGATTGAGTTATATGGATGCATGGTGAACTATCATGATAATTATTTCAATCAGGGTACAATTTCATCAAACAATCATGCAAAACTAAGTGCAAGAAATAACAAGTTTGATATGATAAAGTAATTTACCACATATGTAATAAAAACTAACTTCATTGTCAAATGCCCAGGCTGTCCTCAACCAGTAATTCTGTAATCCATCAATAAAATGCACCAAATACGCTAATGCAGATATGACCTGAACAAATAAATAACAAAAAACAAACTCTTTTATCATTCATTAGAATAAAGACAATCGAGAACTAACAAAGAGTATCTAGAGGGACTTACAAACTGCACTAGAGCAAAGATGAATAATATATCTCTAGTAACGAAGAAACGAAATTTCAATGTTCGCCATTTCCTATCAGTGTGAACATGAACCCTCAAATAGTAAGGAGCTTTACAAGTGGTGCAATGCGAAAAGGCAAATCCTTCCTGTACATGAGACAAAGAAAATGCCAAGCAAAGTTAGTTTTCTTACGAAACAAAGCTTAGCAAAATAACATTGACCTGCCAATTTTTGTGCAATTAAAATATGTATCTTGAAAGCGTAAATGTTGACAAAGGCAACTCTGGATACTCTACGTTATGAAGAATCATAGCTTAAATTGTAGCAAATCGCACCTAAACTACATTTTAGGCACAGCATTCATATAACGCTAAAATTAGTTATCACAACAAATGAGGTTTAAACATGGTATCTTATCTACCAAGAATGCCACAACCCCCCAACTTCTCTCAGCGCACAGCAAACAGCAGCTCCCCCAATTTATTAACAGCTAACGTGCAACCAATGAAATGGGCGGGAGATCAGCGGGGAGGCCCGAGGGATCAAAAGCTTCATACCTTCACGGCTCTCCAGTGGTCGAGGCAGTCGCGGTGGACGTACTTGGACGTCCCCTTGCACTTGCACGGCGCGATGAAATCCCTCCCTGCACACACCCACACACACACGCACCGAGCCAACAAAGCACTCAGATCCCCCTCGCACGATAAGGTCGCGCCTCGCGGGCGGAAGGGGGGGTGGATCTGCGCGTACCGTCGGTCTCGAGGCAGATCCGGCACTGGAACTGGTCCCCGGCCCCGGCCTCGATGTCGATCTCCGACGGCGGTGGGATCAGCGGCGACGACTCCGACGCCGACGACGCCGCCCCCCGCGCCGGCTGCTCCCCCATCGACGATCCACCGCAGCCTGCCCCCGCGCTTCTACAACCCTCCTCCTCCTCCCATCCGAAACCCTAGCTCCTCCTCCTCCTCGCCTCGATCGATCGAATCGAAGCCGACGACGACGAGTCGAGGGAGAGGTTGGCGGCTGTTAGGTGCGGTGGTGGACTAGCGAGGAGCGAGCGAGGTATAGATTGGTCGCGAACTTTTGCCACGCGACGGTGGCGTACGCGCGGGAGGATGACGCGTGGGGCCCGGTGGTTATACTGGTTTGGAGTAGCTTCGGTGGGGGTGGGTGGGTGGGTAGTCGTACGTGCGGGTGAGAGTTGACCAGAGAGGCTTCGTTGTGATTGCGCGTGCGGTTAATGTTTTTGCTCTTTTGCGAACGGGGACTTCAGTGACTGCGTATCAACCTCTCGCGACACCTAGTTCGCGCGGATTCGCGAGTAGAATATGTAGCGCGCACTTTTTTGGTTATTATACGGTACACCAGTGGAGCAGCCTCATTCCGACTCCTGGGCATTCAGCCCACCAACGCGCGCCCCTGCTACAGTGCTACGACATTCGTGCCGCAAATTACGACAATTAGCGTTAATTACCATCATTAGCATTAGTCTTTAAAAAGCATATATAGTTAATTTAGTCGAAAACTTTTCAAAAATAGTGGAAAGTTTTAAATTTGAAGTGGAAAGGTTTCGAAATTTGATTTAAAAGTTTTAAATTTTAAGTTGAAAGTTTTGAATTTCAAATAAGAAGTTTTCAATTTTGAGATGAAAATTATGAATTTTGAGTTGAAAGTTATTGAAATTTGAGCTGAAAGATTTCAAAATTTGAGTTGAAAGTTTTAAATTTTGAGTTGAAAGTTTTTGAATTTTTAGATGAAAGTTTCAAATTTTGAGTTGAAAGTTTTCAAATCTTGACTTCAAAGTTTTTAATATGATTTAAAAATTTTTAAATATAAGTTGAAAGTTTTTAAATTAGTGTTGAAAGTTTCAAATTTTGGGTCGATTTTTTAAAAATCATTGAAATCCTTGAATTATGTAAAATCATTGAATGCAGATTACGGCCTAATTATTCTGGAAAAAATCAGCACTAATCTCGCTAATCTGAAAAAAAAAACCACGCATCACCTTTTTTTCTTCTGGTTTCCGGCTTTTACTTATAATAACGGTAGCGCTGCGCTGTGTGAGCGACACGTGTACGTGCGTGCCGCTAACTCATCTGGCGCGTACGCGCTAATTAGTTTTCCTGTCAAAAGTTTGCGATGTTTTTTTGTTTGAGGGGGTGTTTAGATATAAGGGTGTAAAATTTTTACTGTCACTTCGGATATTATATAGGGTGTTCTATGAGATATTCGGGCACTAATAAAAAAACCAATTACAGAATCCGTCAGTAAAACGTGAGATAAATTTATTAAGCATAATTAATCCGTCATTAGCAAATGTTTACTACAGCACTACATTGTCAAATTATGGAACAATTAGGCTTAAAAGATTCATCTCGCAAATTAGTCGCAATCTGTGCAATTAGGTTTTTAAGTCTATATTCAATACTTCATGCATGTGTTTAAACATTCGATGTGATAGGGTGAAAAATTTTGGGGTGAAATATAAACAGGGCCTAAAATGCGAATCAACATGAATCTCGTGAAAAAAAGTGAATGATCATACTTGAAACTCTACTGTGTTAGATCAATAAGACATAGGCTCTGTTTGGATCCTCCGGGCTATTAAATAGCCCTCCGAAATCTTGCTATTTAGCAGTATTAAACGTAGATTACCGACAAAACTCATTCCATAACCCCTGGGCTATTTTGCGAGACGAATCTAACGAGATATATTAATCCATGATTTGTTGCAGTGATGCTACATTGATCATTCGCTAACTATGGATTAATATACCTCGTTAGATTCGTCTCGCAAAATAGCCTAGGGGTTATGGAATGGGTTTTGTCAGTAATCTACGTTTAATACTCTTAGATAGCAAGATTTTGGAGAGCTATTTAATAGCCCGGAGGATCCAAATAAGACCATAGTGGTATTTTATAAAGTAAGCGGTGATACCTACCGAAATTTTATACCCTCTCCGTTCCAAAATGATTATCATATAGTTTTTTTTTAGTTATTTCTAAATGATCATCATTTGTGTTCACTAGATGATACCCCGCGCGTTGCGGCGGGCCATTGTGGGGGCATAGACATACTTGCATGGAAGAGGAGTTATCGCCACCTCCTGCGACCAAGAAGCGCGTTGTCCCCACCACCACCTGTGCGCGACCACGCCACGCTAGGGTCCGCCGCACTACGCCACCGCTGCTCCGCTCAGGAAGTCAGGAGGAGATAAGACACACCGAATCCTAAATCCCTCATTGGGCTGCTTTAGATTGACTTGGGCCTACTGGGCTGCGGTATATTCACATGGGCCTCACGTGTTGTGTTTGACCCCGAGTTTTGTTCATCCAACGGTGCAGATGCAATCTAATCTACCGATCCAAGGGCTGTAAATTAGTGATGATGTGGATCATTGAGGATTGAGCTTTCGAATCTTAATTGCACTTAGTGGGAGATAACTTTATAGGAAGAAGGGATTCATTAAGTCTATTTGTTATTTGTGCATTGGAGTAAATGGACATTGATGCATGTATCCATGCACACAAGTATTTATAATCCACATGCAATATCTTGATTTGCTATTGGCTAGAAAATAGTGGGGATTGTGCATACATCGAGTTTGTTGCTAGAGTAAATATAGTATGAGAGAGTTATTAGCTTTTATTAGTCTTGGTGTATCTATGTGATATGTAGATCAATTTAGAATGGAGTAAGTACTCCATCCGTTTCGAAATGTTTGACGCCGTTGACTTTTTTAAATATGTTTGACCGTTCGTCTTATTCAAAAAATTTATGTAATTATTAATTCTTTTCCTATCATTTGATTTATTGTTAAATATATTTTTATATAGGCATATAATTTTACATATTTCACCAAAGTTTTTGAATAAGACGAACGGTCAAACATGTGCTAAAAAGTCAACGGTGTCAAACATTTCGAAACGGAGGGAGTAGTTTGTATGTCATATTGACCTTGCATAGTTAAGGTCTCGAGTATATCTCCACTGAAATAGTCAGATGGCAACAACATTACAGAAGGTCACTCACTGGATAACAAAGTTATCATTGATGATCAATGTGCGATCAATGCCCTTTAGGACGCCTTTCCCAATGATTTGGAACTATCTCTTTAGCCCTTTTTAACATTTCTCATGATCGGATTATAAGTTACGGGTTTTATGAGTGGTTTGTTGTGAGAATAGTCACTTCACACGTATGGTTTGTTATTATCTTTTATGTTCGTGTTGATCCAATCTTGGTTGGTTGCATGCATATAGAGCATTTACAGATACACATTTACTATTTGCTCAAATAAAAATAGAGACAGTTTAGTAGAGGATGATTATTTCGGAAAAACATCACGTTGATTATAGATGATGACTTTGTTATCCAGCGAGTAAAGAATCAATCTGTATGCATGTAAACTATTAAATAAACTATAAAATAAAGACATTATTAATAGTTTGTTTCCAATACTTGTATAGAATTTGAAAGAAAAATGTAAGAAAATGCTACTTACTAGTCTCACTTGCATCCTTACCAACATCCATCGATCCATCCACGAGCACCAAGGTAATCGCGTCGTCAGTACGTCACGTACGCGGCGGCCGGCTAGGATATGACCAAGGGGTTGATCACTTCCCCGTAGTACTGTCAGATTAGTTGCTATTCTTCGATCCGCATGAGCTATTCTAGAAGCTTCAAAACACTGCAATCTCGATCGAAAGTCGTCCTTTCGAGGTAAGCAAAAAGCAACTTAAATTAGCTTTTGTAAACAAAAGGCTTTATATACAATCCAGTCCGTGCAAAGCAACTTAAATTATCTTGAAATAAGCCAAACGGTATATTTATAAACGAAAAGTAATTTGTAAATATAACTTTTATATACGCGCTTTTAGCGATCTAAAAGCAAAAACTAAAAAATAAACTTCAGCGTAAAAACCACAAAATCAGTTTCAATTTAAAGGTTGAAAATTTAAATTTAGCTGATAAATATAAACGAAAAGATGGAGCCCATCTCTACTCGTCAGTGGTATCACTTGATTAATTAGGGGTTTAACCATTGGTTTCCTCGTTGAAGCTGTTGCGGTACAAAATCAAGACGTGCTACAGGATATGACCGGGCGTTGCGCCGTTGCCGTCGCCAGCGCGCATCGTCGCATCTCCGGCAACCCGGGAATCGATCGATCAGCTCGTCGCGTCTCCAACCATAATACTCCTCGTCAAAATCTCTATTCTCTAGTGGAGCTTGGCGTATCGATGCGTTTGTGCGAGGCAGAGTGCGCGTCGGGGAAACTATTTTAACGTACGTTCTTTGCATGTCACTTAAATGGTTATAAAAAAATTTGAAAAAAATTGGGAAGGTGTATTAACATATGATATAACACTCCACAAACATGCAAGTTCAAATTCAACGTCTACATCTCGTAACGAAAAAACAAATTGAACCGCAGCTAGTTAACGTATATTCAGAGTCAAATTTGTTTTTTTCGTTGCGAGATGTAGAAGTTAAATTTTTACTTGCATGTTTGTGGAGTGATATATCACATATTAATACATCTTCTTAATTTTTTTTAAATTTTTTCATAACCATTTAATTGACATGCAAACAACGAGGGGATATTCCCTCGAGGATCAAAATCCTCTTCCGTGCGCGTCGTCGTCTGCACCGCGGACGGCGCAGGTGGCCATGCTGCAGGGAGAGGCTGGGCTCGACGTGGCCCCGTGCCGGCGCGCGCCCTTGCAGTTGCCGGCTGTGCGTGGCACTGTATGCACCGGAGCGCGCGACGCTGGGGCGTCCACTTCGCGTTCGGACACGCGGTTGACATGCTCGAGAGACGAGACCCGGGGCCGTTCGTTCGATCTGCTCGGCCTCGCCCGGCGCCGCCGACGAGGCGAGGCAAAACGATGGTCACGATCGACGCAGCGATCTCATAGGCTGCACTGCAGGGAGCTTGCGGGTCTCGACGTGGCCGTGCGCGCTCTCAGCTGTGCTGGTGCAAAGAGCACGACGCGCGCATGCAGTAGTGCCACACCATAGAGCGCGGAGGCGGTGGTGGACTGGTGGGTGGTCGATCGCACAGTGGCACAACACTTAAGTAGGATGGCAATTTTACCCAGGGTCCCGATATCCGCGGATACCCGGCTCAATGGGCATGGGTATGGGTGTAATATTTTGCCTATGGGCATACCCGCCCGAGACCCGAGAACATAGCGGGCAGCATCCGAGTATTGTTTTTTACCCGCAGATAACCCATGCCCAACCTAATACATATGTATTTGCTAATTTTGGCCCATCTCTTATTCCTCGTACCCTTTTCTCTTAGCCCATTTGACCCACTAACCAAGGACATATATATACTCAACTAATAGAAACCCTAACCTAATTCCCCACCCTCTTCTCCTACCCCAATCCCCATGGCGGCTGGCGGCGGCTGCGCGGCTGCCGGTGGCGGCGGCAGCGGCGCAGGCTAGCGACAATGCAGTGGTGGCTGGCGGCGCACAGCGCAGGCGGCGGTGCACGGCCAAGCAGGCCCGATGGGTACTCATCGGGCATGCCCGTGCTTGACGGGCATGGGCACGGGCATAGGATTTTGCCCGATAGACCTTGCAGGCATGAGTCAGGCACGGGCACGTGGGTCTTGGGTCGGGCATGGAATCGCTTTACCTATGCCCGATCCGACCCGTTGCCATCCCTAGGGCTGTATTCGGCACCCGTTCTTCCCAACCTCTCTTCCTTATTTTTCGCGCGCACGCTTTTCAAATTGCTAAACGGTGCGTTTTTTGCAAAAAAGTTTATATACGAAAGTTGCTTTTAAAAAATCAAATTAATCAATTTTTTTAAAAAAGCTAATACTTAATTAATCATACGCTAATGAACTGTTCCGTTTTCCGTACGCACTGTTAACTTTGGGAACCAGGCTGTCCGAACACAGCCTTAATCAACAACGTTTTCATGGTAGAGTTTGAGTTTGACGTCCACAAGCTGAAGGTCGTCGTGTCGGGCTCGAACCACATGATGATCTGGCCACTAGCTCACTACGCATGGCACCCGCTGCTATGGTGGGCCAATTGAGTTCTTTTTAGGTTATTGCTAGACCGGATATCCGTTTCCGTGTCTACGTCCAACAAAAACAGATTTATTATATTCGTATTTGCATAAAAAAAGATACGAATTTTAAAAAAAAACTCATGTATGTTTCCGTATCCGTTTTGGGCTACCCTAAGCCCAATAAAATAAAAGGAAAAGCCTAAGCGCAGCCCAATAGGAATTCAGCGCCGCATCAGGTGATTCATTGCAGCGCCGATCATCTGAATTCTCTCCGCTCTCGCCACCTCCCTCTCATCGGCGGCCGCCTCTTCTTCCCGCTCCGCTGGTCATGGAAACTCCTGGACCGGAGCCGAAGGCGGCGACGACGGTGGAGGTTTCCGATGAGGAGGAAGTGAAGGCGATCGCTGCAGATGCGGGATCCGTCACCGGGGAGGGGAAGCGTCTCGACGCGGCGGCGGCGGCGACGGCCTCCACTGCAGGTGGAGACGGCGGCGAGGAGGAGAAGCCTCCTGTCATGGTGCAGATGCCTCTGAACACCATCGCCGCCATCCTCTCACTGAAGAGGGAGCCGAGGCCGATGCCCGAGGACCTGGCGCGTCTCTCGCCGGAAGAGCGCGACGAGCGCCTGGCGTTCTTCGATTCATGGGAGGAGGTCAACGACGAGTTCGAGGAGTTCCAGAAGGAGATCCTCCGCGAGGTGAAGGAGACTGGCCGCTACATGGTCCACCAGAGCTACTTCACGGAGCAGGCGGAGATGCAGGCTCGTATGGAGAAAGAATGGGCCGAGATCGACTGGACCGGCGTCAAATTCGGCGACTGGGACTACGACGACCCCACTTGCTGTCAACCACTGTGATTTCAGGCTCGCCCGCTAACTGAGATGCTGCAGAGGACTACTTCTTTACTGTATCTTACCCAAATGGTCTCAAGCCAGCTTAGCTTTTGAGTACTGCCTCACCCTTAGCTACTAAATTACTAGCTCTCTGTCGGGTAGTAGTATCAGTTATCTATGGTGTTTGCTAGGTAGTAATGTCTTGTGTGATTTGACCGACCCTTATAAGGAAGACCATGTGGCTTATGCTATGAATGAATTACTTTAATAGTAGTAAGTCTGTTATTATTAAGTTTCTGCTGGTATTAGGCTCGATAATATTCTTTCTTGGAGTTCCTTTGTGATGCTCTATGTGATTATTACTGTGCTAACTCTATCTGTGATTTACTACTTTACTAACTCTAACCCTTGGTTAATAAGGGGGCATACCAGTGCTCTGTGATTAGTGGTAATTTTGGTATTTAGTTTTTGTTATTCTTTGAGACTGCTTCCAAGAGAGCGCAAAACCCTCCTCTAAACTAAATTTTGGGAATTAAGTCTGAAATCATATACCAAATCCCCTTCCTCGACGGTCGCCCTGCACACTTCACTAGGTGAATGATCTGCTTCTCTGTTCTGCATCTATACGAACTGTGATGGATGAGTTGTTGCCAAACAGAACTGTTGGTACTTCTTTGGAAAATATGCTGTTGAACTTGTCTTGAAAATGGTACAGCATGTTTGTTGTAATTTTGCACATGGTTGGACATATAGCACATGTGATGTTTGAAAGCAGCATCTTTTTGGCAGTCAAACTGCCATGTGTGTAGCTTAGCTTTACAAATTGCAAGAAACATAGCAACCTGAACTTCTAGAAGACTTTTGCCAATGCCTCTACAATCAGATTTATATCCGTGTTCATTTTCTTCATCTGCAAATAAACCAAGCAATAACAGAGTTTTTAGATGTACATTAATTGAGCTGCAATAATAGAGTTGTTAGTCGTTTTATGGCATAAGGTAGAGATAGCAAAAGTCGAAGTACTAAGAAATCAAAATCTGCGTGAAAACATACCCTATAGAAGTCTTCAACTTTGGAAATCATTATGATCCAGATTACTATAGCTGAAAAGCATTTGTCCAAGTGATAATCTATACCTAGTTGATGATGCCAATATCATTTTTGGTTGTGCTTTCATGGCAGGTCTAATTTTGGACAGCAGACATAATTTTGTCTGTGCAGATCTCTATCCAGTTTATTTGTTTGTGGATTATAAAGCGAGCACTACATTGTTTTGTATCACCTAAAAATTTATTTGATTTTACCATGCTAATTATGCCCTCAGTCCAAGTGTGATAATCTGTTGACCTAGTTTATGACTTGTTCATGTTAAGATTATATATGTATTAGTGTGTATGTGTTAAGGGGTATTTCTGTCTTTTCACGTTGTATTCATCTCATATTAGCCCTAAGGGCCAACTCAATGAATAAATAGTTAAATCCCCAATTCACTCACTGATTTTGACATGGTATCAGAGCAGAGATCCTAACCCTAGCCTCAATCCGACGTCCTCCCCGGTGCGCCGGCGGCGGACGCCGCCGCCGGCAGCCACACCATCAAGCCGTCAGCTCTGTCAAGATGCATTAGCTTCTCGTCATCGTCTCATTCATCTTCAAGTAGCAGCCAGTAGCAGCAGCCAGCAGCAGATCGTCTAGACATTGACTACCTCATCCCATCGCCAGTCGCGGCCGCCGTATCCTCTGCCGGCGGGCAAACCGTCGTCGTCGGCCGTCGCAGCCTCGCCGCCTCAATCACTGGTCTCGTCCTTTCATCACCACTCGCAGTATTCGTCAAGCAAACCAACAGCAGCAGCCCTGCTTTCGTCGTCTTCAAGCAGCAAATCATTAAGAAGCAGCAGCCATTGAGCTAGTTGCAGACTTGCAGCAGCATGTGTCAGCAGCAGCAAGTCATCTTGATCCATTTCATCCTCAAGCAGCTGAGGAAACTCCTCTGCTTTCTTCTACATTCTCACCAAATCTAAGTGGATCTGTTGCATTTAGGCTTCAGTTTGAGCCTCTGCTTGTTGTCCTGGAACTCCATTTTGTGCACTATCATCAACATCCTTTGTTTCCTATCCTATATTTTGCTAGTATCAGATTGCCATGCTATAAGCTTGATTGCTCATCATCATTTTGTGCACTGCTAGCTCCTTGATTTATACCTAATATCAGTTGGCACAAGTTCTAAAACCTCCCGCATCATGCTTCTATCATGTGCTGCAACACATCAACAGCATAAACCAGTGGATTACTTGGGATATTTCTAATTGAAATTGGCTTCTTGATTAGTAGATGATCTTCAACCTTTAGTTCGAAATGGTTCTCTTCCATTGATATGCCATGATTTGGATGAAGCATCTAGGGTCTCAGTCTCACAGTCCTACCCACAAAGAGTAGTGTTGATTTGTTAGCCTCTAATCGTATTCCATCAACAGATCTACTTATTTCTTCTACATTTGCTATGTTTGCTTGCTGCTGCCATCAACAATTCTACTAATCTCCTTAGGCCTATTGATATACTATGTTGTCATATTTCCTTTACAATCCTTTTGAGTCCATCCAAGTCCAATACACAACGATTCGTTGAAGCGTGCTAATCTATCTTCATCACTAGTTCCCCACTGGAGCTGGTTTATCACACCACATCATCTGCATTGTCAACTCCCCATCGGAGTTATCATCTCCAACTTCACCAGCTCCATATCGGAGTTGGACATCGTTATCAGTCAAGGACCGAAGAACAATTTGTAAAGGTCCATTATCATCACCATCAACATCTCTAGATCTACAAAGGTCTGAAGAACAGTTTGTGAAGGACCTTCATCCTCTTCATCATCATATCCACATCTCCGAATCAGTGATTGGCCGAAGAACGGTTCGTGAAGGCTTTAAGGTACCAAAGGAGCTGAAGAACAGTTTGTGAAGGCTCCAAGATCCTCTTCATTGAGGAAGGGATGGATTTCCATCTTCATCATCATTCTAGAGTTGCACGATTCGACAACATCTTCAAGCATGGACTGTGGATTTATTCTAGTGTGTCATTAATCTATATTTAGTTTCAAATGCAATGTTACATATACATTGCATTTGAGTAGGGGTGTTAAGAATATATATGTATTAGTGTGTATGTGTTAAGGGGTATTTCTGTCTTTTCACGTTGTAGTCATCTCATATTAGCCCTAAGGGCCAACTCAATGAATAAATAGTTAAATCCCCAATTCACTCACTGATTTTGACAGTTCATTCATCAAATTTGAGCTGCATCCTTTTACTGAAAAAAGTGTTTACTGGACTATTGATAGACTTGATGTTTCGAGGTTCAGAGACTATTAATTTGGTTCCCTGATAATGTCTCAAGAGTTTTGTGTACGTACTATTGATGATGGAAGGAGAAGGATACTTCACTAACTCGTTGAATGAGGGAAGCATTATAGATTTTGGCAAAGTAGGTGTGTTCATTGTCTGTTATAGTCAACATGGTTAGCCAAGGGCTACATGAGCCAAATCTGTGTATGTGGGTGAAAGAAGAAAAGAAATACTGTCCAAGTGCTATGTGAGCCAAATCTATGTATGTGGGTGAAAGAAGAAAATAAATACAGGAATCATTTATATTCATTCGAAGATATTTGATTCTGTAACTTCCTGACAAGAGTTTCTTTATTGCATTTTCTTTGTCTAGCTTTTACCTTGAGTTTTATTGTGTGCAAGCATGTGAAGCCAACTACCTCCAAGATTCAGATGTTGTATCCGCTCGTTTCCAGGTAAATTGTTATTATTTCCTGCAGGCAACTAGTTCTGCACATACATTTGTTTTGTTCTATGATATACAATTTTCTCTCTTCCGGTTTCTACAGAAAGATGCCTATGGATCTTGGGAGCGGTATCTTTGGTAACCGCAGTCTGGTTGTGAACTTGTGAAGTGAACGTCGTGAATTCTTGTGGCAACCTCTTTTTACCTTCATTCTGTCACTCGGCTTGGGAATAGATATGCTATCTTGCGACCTGCATTTCCACTGCTACTGTGTTATTTCTTGCATACCTTTTAAACTTTCATCAAATGATCTTTCAAAATATTTGGGTTTGCCTGATGTTTTAAAGGATTCTGTTTAAATCCCTTTTAGTTGAATGTATTTATGAACCCAGTAATAAAGATGTTTTTACTTGCATTTTACAGTATTTCCCTATATGTCACAAACTTAGAGATGGCTTAGCTTCTACCAAAGAAGATACCTCACCTGGCACATCTGGTAAAAGATCTTGAAGTTAACTTTGGATTTCCCCATAAATATCTTGTTAGTTCACATGCATTTTTCTACACTGTACCGTAGCATTCCAGTGCCGTTTTATGTGCACGTTACTATGGATTAGAAGGACCTGTATCTTCACGAAATTCTGCTTTTCTCCCCTGGTTTCAACCAACATGCAGAACCGTCACACGACAGGCCAACTACGGTCTAACGCTGGGGGCTCGCTCTGTCTTCTTCTGTATAAATCATGCTTGTTTACGGTTTACATAATATCTCATATTTACATCTGCTTGTTGTATCCTGATAATCCTAGAAGATCCATGCAGTTTTTCGAATACATACTCGATATTATCTGCTATATGTCTTGCCTTCTAGAAAATATCTTTCAGGAACAATTGAGCACTCGAGTAGAATGTAGTCGAGTACGCCGCATTATCGAGAACGATCTCGACAAATGCAGAGCCGTCGCGCCCAACCTGCCAACGAAGACCGACGACCTATCTCATAGCACCGGCCATCGCTGGGCTACTCGAGAGAAGGTTGTTAACGGATAATTCCTCGCGAACGTCGTCGGCTTGATCACCTGACATGATTGCGAACGGACATCCGGGTATGCTATAAGTTGGGTACGCGAGTCATGCTGGCCACATGAGATACACTTGCAACAAACCAACTCTAGCGCTTCCATCGGTGTTCGAGAGATAATTCTGCTCGCTCACTGGTTCTCGCACCAGGACGTAGCAATCTCTCACACCACAGCTTCCATCGGTGTTCGAGAGATAATTCTGCTCGCTCACTGGTTCTCACACCAGGACGTAGCAATCTCTCACACCGCAGCTTCCATCAGTGTTCGAGAGATAATTCTGCTCGCTCACTGGTTCTCGCACCAGGACGTAGCAATCTCTCACACCGCAGCTTCCATCGGTGTTCGAGAGATAATTCTGCTCACTCACTGGTTCTCGCACCAGGACGTAGCAATCTCTCACACCGCAGCTTCCATCGGTGTTCGAGAGATAATTCTGCTCGCTCACTGGTTC